AATAATGTCTCTTCCAACTGAAATAAAAACGATAGGGCTATTTGGACTATTTCTTATCGATGTGGTCATTGGATGTAAATGCATGGATTATTGCACGCGGAATGACCTGCAGATGTCCTTAACAGGATTTTTTGTTGCATTTTAAGATTTAAAGAAGGGACCACATATTAAAACTTAAACATGATAAACATAATGCATATGCCAAATAAATGAATTATCTGATATGTGAATAAAGAAGTAATTTGACAGTTGAAGAATAAAATTGAATATACTCTTCAAATGTAATCGTAATTTTACTAAGCTTATGTTATCTATCAATAATTCAATGGACGCATCAGTGTCATATATGGACCTCAGTCGTGTTGCTATTACATATATGTTAATGTAAATATTTATATAATTATTGATAATCATTGTTATTTCCGACTTTTAGAATGTTTTGTTTCAAATAATTTGACTGTGATCGATGGCTGTTGGTTTGTAAAATCATTTATCTGTTTACTATTTTCTACTTTGTTTACACCACATGGCGTCCATTCTCGTTTTTTTTATTGGCGACTCATGGCTATTTTGGGCCTTTTTGATAAATAGAGAATCATAAGTAACGCAACTAAGTAACAATACTATCAGGTTTACACGCAAAGTTCCAAGTTATATGTAATGCTATTTAAAATTGTTCTACACAAAGAACAAAATCTGACTGATGATGAATATGCTTATAGTTAAATTAGCATAAAATGTAAACGTCATGTTAATGCGCGAGACAATTAGATTCAGGACTTTAATTTTAAATTGTGATTTTGTTTATCAAACTTTATAGAAATTTATTACACGGCAATTCCAGAAAAATATATACCTTTTCAAAGTCTCTCTTTTGAGGACAGAAGAACTATTCGTCACCTTCACGAGTGTCAGTGTTTGTCAGTTACTCTTCTACAAAAATAGACTGAAAACATTACCTTAAGCCTTTTTACAACACTCGCGTTATAGTGTAACCCTTTCAGTAGCATTATTTTATTTTAACTCTTTCTCTCACATGAGGCAACATTTTATTTCTTTCAATTTCGCCATTGTGAAAATAGAATAAATCACATTTTACTACATAGGATAAGATGAGCAATACTTTAAACATCTTCAAAACGAAACCAAACTATTATTTTTCGGTTTGCACTATTGCGATAACAAGTAAGTGTTATTGTTTTATGGAACAATCAGTTTTTTTTTTTTCACAAATCTCTTTGTGTAAGATCAACAATGAAAAAACAGGAAATTGTAGAAAGAAAACGGAAGTCATGTTGCTTCGCATTTGCAACAGATTCTAAAATCTGCTTTTAAACTGTAGCCCTTTTTTCGACTTGGAACTGGTTGCCAGAATTGAAAATTGAAGAAAATGGCAAGATTTACGCCATAAAATAATAAACTATAAACATATTAAGGTGGATTTTGCTGTCTGTACCCCCGGTTGATGTAAACCTGACCTATTAATCATGGCGTAGACCAAATAACGGCCAGAAAACGAAATAGCTTGCAACCGAAGCCCGCTCTAATACAAGCAACTTCCAAGGTTATGCAAAGTGTTTGATAAAACGGCTTATAAACTGACGAAGATCTAATATTCTGTGGAAAGCTTATAATTTTCCCCGTAGACTGGTGCATATCCCAAAGATATTGGTACAGAAATAAAATATTTACGGCTATTTTCTTTTCCGAATCGAGCAATATTTGTCTTGGAAATGATGCCAAAAATGACGTAAATGTCACGTGGTATGGCCACACTGTATAACAGAGGAATAATTTATTTTAGAGTTATTCTGGCTCACATTGATTTAACACAAATGAGGCGGGAGTATATGACAAGGTATCTGGTCTGTATGAATGTGAAGTAACTCAGGGGTCAGGATTCTTTTTGTCATATATGATGTACTAAATTTAGACCTACTCAAAACTTGAATTTTCATTCTTAACATAAAACAAAAATGCCGCTAAGTCACACGTGCATGTTATTAAGAAATGCGTAATGGTATAATATAACATAGAAAACAAGGGAATCTATGTAACACATCTCTATTAGATTGAAAAGAATTTGTATTGTGCACGAGTTATCTAGGTATGCGTCTTAAATTTCAAACTAGTATAAAGTTGACACGGGACAGCTTTATTCAAAAAGGTGTCTTGTAATTTATTTTGTAACACTGTATTCACGGTGCGTAATCGTTTCGGGCTGATTTGGAATATTTCCCCGATTCTGAACTGATTTGGACTTATGGCGCCGGTTGATTAAGATAAAATGGATATTAGTACATGTATTTAGTTACCCAAACAAATTCAACGCTTTCAGTGCTTTGATTGGAAAAAAAATGCCTAACATTACCTGGCACGCAATAGGGAGTGCAGCTTCACATCCATGCATAGTTTGTACATTCTTTTATTCAAATAAGATATATTCAGTTTAAATTTCATAAATTCAAAAACTTTCTGCGATAATAATAATTTCGATGGATGAAATTAACAGAAGTTGGTTACCGTTTTAGTCATAACCGGACAAGCAGAGCTACGATAAAATTTATTATAAAATTTCATATGTAGTTGCGTGTATTTTAATGCTTTAATTCTTGCTTCGACAAGAAAATTATTGATTTGTAAATAATTTAAATGAATACTGTAGATATTCAATTTTGTTTCTTGGCCAAGAGAAAATATTCGAATTTGATTCGCGCACCTGCCGTGACGACATTGTTTGATCACGTGACGCACCCAGACAACGAAGCTGTGTAGAAGACAAATAATTCGTTGTGTTTTGGTGCAATTACCAGGAAATTGACCTAATTATCACTCTGAAGCATGGAATAACAACACTTTTTATCTTTAACTGTTTACTTCGGAAAGTTTAGTGTGTTGAAGGTTGAAAGGAAAGTTAGGCAGGATGAGCCACGTACACGAGGGGTAAGATGGACTAATTAAAAATCAATTAGATCTAATTAAACAACTAATTGTTTTCTTTTTGATGATAAAAAAACCCATTAAAGTACATTACTTTAGTCTTACTTTATATAAACACATGTTACTTGTTTATGTCAATTTGCATGAGCGCTTGTGTTTTGTCAATGCAAGCTGCATTAAGATTTGACATAGGCCTACTCTTCTTTCTAAGTTAATTAATTAATATGAAATTAGGCAAAGCCTATGAACGGGGAAGCAGGTTAAAAAATCAGTTTATTTTATTTATTTATTCATTTTAAAGATGTCATTTGGTTTTACATGCACCGCTTCCTTTTTCACTTGGAACACTCAACAATTATAATTAATCCAAAAAGTTGTGATTGTTCCGTTATAGGGATACCCCGCCTATTATCATTTAGTTACACTGAAAGTGGCGGCACTCTACTAGAAATGACACTGAAAGTTTGATTGATAGGTATAGAATTCTATATATTCTTTAATTGTTTTTTTTTTGTTTGATTTCCTTTTAAATATATGCATACACATGTAGTCTATTTATACGGCCAAGCCAAAGCCTCAGGCCCACTTCGGAGTCCCTGCCTTTGACTTCCCTGTAAAAATATGGACTTCTTTCAGACCAGTAGACAGTGCCTTGCCCTCATTTGGCATCATACCAACTGGTGCAGACCCGGACCCATTCCAAAAAAAATCCCTGCTGTGTGATACTGTGACAAGAAATTAATTATACATTATTAAACTTGACAGTCAGTCATCTCTAGAGCCAGTGACTGATAAATTAAATGATCTTTTATCATCAGAAATTACTAGCTCATTGTTTGAGAAAACACTGTATAGTGTAATTGTTTAGAAATACATCAAAATTCTTACCTACCTTTCCTCTTTTCCCAGAGCCTAGAAAATAAGCTTATTTAATTATTTCAAACCATTTTAGCTTCACTCCAGAAATATACCTTAATTACATGTTACATGTAATCTTAATTACAGATTTTGTTAACATTTATTCGGTGTTGACGTGTGGTTTCTTTGAATTCTTCGTTTTTATCCAGTTAATTACAGATTGTTAACAAGATTTTAGTTGGTGCTGTCAAAAGTTATTTTAAACCTTTCTCTATAGTAACTCAATCCATAGGTACCTGGCTTTTGATAGGCAACATCATACCACAGGTGTATATAACTGATTAGTTAGTGATTTTTCACCTCATATAACAGAAGCCTATACAAGGCCTCTTCTCAAACAAAGTTTTCCGAAATTTATCATCATCAGTTTTCCCAAACATCTAAGCAGGGATTTTTTTTGGCTTGTTTTAAAGCTGATATTTGGTCATATTCCCAATTGAAAATAGTATATTATTTTCCCAATCTACAGAAAAAAATTCCCAATTGAAAGTTACAAATAAAAATTTTGAGTAAAAAAACTCTAAAATCTTTGAAAATAACTACTTCTTCACAGTGTTATAGTGCTTAAATTTTTGAAGATGCCATATCCTAGACAGTGCTGTTTGCATTAATTTAATCACTGCAAATTTTGATCATGCATTTTTTCCCAATTTTTAACAAAATATTGCTGAAATTCCCAGTTCCATGGGTATGGGTCAAGTTCACAAAATCCTGGGAAAAAACTCTGACCAGCTTTTTTAATTCCCAAATTCGCAATTTTAGAGATAATATTTTCCAAAACTCGAGAGACTAAGGCCTCTTCCCAATTAAATGAGAGAGAGAGAAAAAACACACTGCTTATATCAAATAATCTGAGGGTTTCTGCCTTGTTTTAGGCACCATATCATACTCTGAGACACACCTGTCAGCGTTGTCTGAGAGTGACTAGATAAGTGATTATCAAAGTATCAGTGTTTTGCCTTTCATGTTAGGAAACAGTTGACACATTGACTGTGTTATTTTCCACTGTTATTAATATAATCAAAATAGAAACCATTAGGCTGTGAAGAATATTGATTCTTACTTGACTTCATTATTGGAGAGAACTCGTGACAATTTTCTACTTCAGTTTTGTAATTAGTTAGAGTATATATCAGACAGTATGATCACAGGTGAATGGTGATAACTATGTAGCATTATAATTATGTTAACAGACAGTTCTGAGAGAGTTTGACAGTGTCATCAAACTTTGTTTTTTATTCATTATTTAAAAATAAAGATCTGTCAAAAGAATGTCACGTGATAAGTTTAACAACAGGTAATCATTTTATTTTACTGCTATATTTAGCTATTTTATTTTTAATCTAGATTATGTTATTTTTTTCATTATTGTATTTTCGTTGGTTCTTAAATTCATGGATAAATTGTCTTCATGTGCACAAAAAAAATGATTCAAAAATGCAATTTATGTAATGCAAAATTACATCTTGCTGCAAACAAAATGAAATTTTGTTACATGTAGGTCTTTTATTTCTAAGGCCCTGTCCATGAAAACCGAAAAAATTAGTACTCCACAAATAAAATTGATTGCATGTTAATTATTTAAGAAACAGCCAGAATATCTAAAACATTTTTTAAAGACATTAATTTTTTTTGTATTGAAACACAAAATTGTTATATTTGAAAATGAATCTAAAAGTGGTTATTTTGATTTTTTATTTACTTGTATATATTTTTTAAATTTTGTTTCAAAATTAATGTTTTTGTCCTTATACATAGAAAGTCAATTTAGAAAGTATAATTGTTAAAAGTTTCTTGGTGTATTCCTTTAACTGCCACATTAATCCCCTGCCATCACAAACTCAACCAAACGTTTAATGAAATTAAACCCTGTAAATGCTCTCATATTTTTTCTCAAAACCTGTTAATTTTTTTTTTTTACAGTTTTTAAAAAAATTAACTCATTGGCCACAAAGAGATGAAATATATTTTGCTTCTGTTCCTCAGGGCAATTGGGGGGGTGGGGGCAATTGGTATAACTATAGAAAAGAAGACATCTGGTGCCCGGCTTGTTGCAATATGTCAGGCACCAGCAGACACCTGAGAATAGAACCACTGACCTTCCATATAATGCTAGCTGGATAATAGATAAGCTAAGGTGGTCCCTCATATGATAGCTTGCAAGATTAATTTACCATTGAAATTATCTTAAATTTTACTGTGGTTTTATTTTCATGACTATTTTAATGAACAATATGGGAATAATGCCGCCAATATCGAATGGTTGCAGTACATCTGCGGACCAAACATTATATTGTTAGATGCTAGAATTAAGTTTTCAGTGTTGAATCTAAAATATACTAGTGGACATTTTTTAGTTTTAAGCCGGCTGGGCAAGTCTAATTAATTTATGTAAATTTAGCTGTGCATGGATTGTTCGATTTTTGATGATCTGCTGGAAATTATTATAATAAATTTTGTATCATTGACGCTGATCATGCTAAATTTGTAAAATGAACTTGTCTTCCTTTGATTTTGGTGTGGTCCATTGTTAAAATTAGGGATTTTGATATTAAAATGCTAAATGTCAGAGTCACAGCTATAATTGAATCAAAATATGTATTGTTTATTCATACTTAAGTTTTGACATGAAATTGATGTTTTTCATAATAATAAATAAATAAAGATATTTTTGTATACAGTGATTAAAATAGGTATTGCCTTTAGTATTATATTTGTTCATATTGACCTGCGTTGACATATTTGAAGATTCCGCCATATTTACTTTGCTGTTATGATATGTTTGTACGGTTTATTTACCAATCCATACAAACCCTGCCTGAAGCAGACGGGCCGTGTCAACCGTGAATCATGCAGCCGACATATGAAAAATATTGCAACTCGACTTTGTTTATCAAACAATCACTAGGCGACACTGTTACAACATTGTTTATTGATTCATTGGTAATTTCTATTATCTAATATGATTTGATGATCAGCGATACATATATTTTCATGTTGCTGTCTGCCTCTAGTTGATACAAAATAGAAAGATGAATTTTTCATAGCAAACATGAGTTGCCTATATAAAATGTACCTCCTGTGGCAGGCACAGGAATTGTACCGGGTTGGAATCTGTAATTGCATTAAGTGTCATCTGTCCCTATACTGTAGTGTCTGCTGTGATATGACCGGAAACTGTGATATCTACTTAATTTGAAGCACTTTGATATACAAAAAAAACCAACAACATTTTAAAGGCCCATTGTGTTCCAAAAAGGTTTTCATTTTTGGTGTCTTGTCATTTACTTATTAGCCAATTACCTGAGCCATCTTTTGCTTCTATTGTTTGGTTTAGTATTTTTTATGAATGTCAAAATACTACTTTGTTTACATTTTGCTACTTTTATGACAAATAATTTCTGATACACACTTCTTCCTTTAACTCACATTTGCATTTCTAAGGAATACAAAAAATTATTAGTTTCTGAGGCCTAATGTGCCTTTAAGTAGAAATGAACTGTTTCATTTTCAAGACTGGGCAAGTCCGTATAGTCTAATTGTCAGTTTGGGGACATTAAAGTCTCCTTTTAATCCTTTTAATAGGAAAACTGGAATGTCACCTTGTAATTAATTAAGAACATTGTCTATATGGGATAAACTTTATCCAAAAGAGAAAAAAATCTCAAACATTTTGAATAGCAAATTTTTTATTTGTATGTGACAATTAAATTTTTAACATAATCATGAATAAATCTTTTATGATAATTTAACACATAATAGTCAGACGTTATACTGTCATAAAAGCATCATTTTCATAAAATGTCAATATTTGTTGATCTTGTCAAACATTGTTTGAAAACGAATTTTTATGGAAATTATTTGTAAATCTTTGACAAATGTTGACACTGAATGTGAACTTAAGAGTCGCATAGTCATTATAGAACAGGTCTTAGTAACATAGAGTTCCTAGTGGAAGGATACCCATGAAAATAAAATAGTTCCAGTTAAAACAACATAGTATTAGAGAAGTAATGTTGTGAAAAAGAAGAAAAATTTATTTCTTAAAAAAAAAAAGAACAAAATACAAATTTTGATCAGAAGTTGGATTTATTTTCAAACTTAGTTATACATTATACAGATATTTCAGTGGAACAATATGGTGTTTAATTAAAAGAATAAAATTTTAGTGGTTTTATTTTTATTCTCGTTATTTCAATCAAAGTCCAGTGATTTTATCAGTATTTTTTTTTTGTATGTAGGTTTTCCTCGAAGTTTATTATTTTGTGAAGAATAACAGAAATGTTTAGGTTTAGAGTGCCACACACTTAATAATCATGCAGTAATATGTTATTGAATTATGTTGAATGCTTTAAATTGGATGATAACTAGTTGAAAATGATGGAAAATATGCAAAGAGTATTCTAGCATTTTTATTACAATCGTATCTAAGCAACATGTAATAGTATTTATTGAAGAAAAAACTGCCTTATTTAGTATCTCATTCACACAGGCAAATACTAATACTTGTGTCAATTTCTAAAAGCTGTTCAAATGTGATAATTATGTGACAAAAAAAGGAGACCAATTTGGATTTACTTACAAATATATGATATATATTACAAAATAAAATTACTTCACCTTTCTCACACAAAAGTGAATGTGCTTTTTTTTTAATTTGGAGAAAAAAGTTTGAGGAAAATTGCAAAAAAAGGATTTTAAAGGAAAATTGGGAAAGTAAAGATTTTAAAGGAAAATAAAGATTTGTAAAGGAAATTGGGAAAATAAAGATTTTAGAGGAAAATTGGGAAAACATTTGAGCAATGTTAAGAAAGGATAGAAAACTGGATGTGAGAACTGTAAGGTTTAATCCAAGAGTTCAGCATGACCTTGTTAGCCCATGGAGGAAGAAAGATTCACTTGGGTGTGTTTTTTTACTGCTTTCTTTTTTCCCATTTGGGATTTATCATCAATTCTAATGAAATTGGGAAAAAAGTGACACAAGTTAATCTTTTTTATTAAGGAATTTTGAATATAAATAAAATCAAAAGCTAATGATATGAAGGAAATTGAAAAAAAAAAAGTTTGCTAGCATAAATTCTGATTTTAATTCAAAATATTCAAAAAGTAGCATACAATTTATGTAATTTTAATAAGTTTTGAAAAAATTTGCAATAAAAGAGAGACTTCTATTGCCTCCTTATGTAGGGGTTTTCCACTTAAGTCTTTGAAATTATTTCTCTTCAATGGATAGAAAAAAAAACAGATGTGTTTTACAGTACATGCTTCTTTAAGGATTGTCAGGAAAAGTATGAAAATATTTAAAAAAAGAAAAAAAAAGATGAAAAATGTAATAGCTATTCAGCCAATTAGTTTTTTTATTCTTGACAATGTTGTATACATAATTATAACTTTTGCGAGAATTTTGTGTGAATTTGATATAAAACATTGTAATGCCCATTTATTATTATGGAAGTAGATGATAGACTTTGAGTAAGTGATTTACTTAAAATAGCTCATTTATGCTTTTGTTTGTTTGTTTCAGCCCTTTGGCCACCTACAACTCCCTGACCGATCCAAATCTGGCGGGATATTTTGGCAACACAAGAATGCGGCGACATCTAAAGAAATCGGGACTGGTAAGTTGAAGCTACATAATTCATGTTGTCACATAGATGTCACTGTAATGTTATTTATATTAATAATTAATGTAGTTACTTTTTTTCAAAAACCAAAATCATTTCGTAAATTCATAGGACCCCAATATAAAGTTTTTGATTATCCAAAGAAAAGTGCCTTTACAAACCTGCAGTATCTAACATAATTTTCTACAGGTTAGCAGAAGAGGTGAGATAATCTCTGAGAATCAGTATCGTCTCAACATGGCGCGTAGAGAACACAAGAAACACGTCAAAGATCTGCTTGCTCAGGCCATTGTACACAAAACCCTTGATCTTGAACGATACCGTCAGGTCGAGATAAAGAAGAAACTTGAGGAAATATCAAAGATTGAGCTGGTCCGCAGAGTCCGGGTAAGCATTTTTTATTGACATTGTAAATGTGGCGATAGAAAGAATTTGTGATCATTAAACGTTGTTTGGTTAGATTTTGGCGGGAAATGAGGTCAAAAGGACCTTGGCCTTAAAACATCAAAATATAAAAAAGCAGTCGATGAGATGGTATATGTTACGTCTCTCAACTATTGGGTGTTGATATACATGTATTTCGATTGTGTTTATCTTAAAATGTAGTGACCATAGATTTTACACGATTTTGATAAATATAACTTGTAACCCAGGTTTGTTATATTGACCTATTACGATATATACATGTATAAGTATTTGTCATTTTATACTAATTTTGGTACCATTTTAGACAGACACTATAAGACGACCTTATGATCTAGATTATCGTTATGGTCAGGTGAGATCTCCATAGCAACACTCACTGTTTATTTTATTTTTATTGTAGCATAAAATGGGTATTTTTCAAAAGTGATGCGTTGCCATTATAACCAGACTAAAATAAAGAAATCTTTGGAAAATATTTGACTTACTCGGGGCCCCAAACTATGGAATAATATCCTTATTTCGTTAAGTAAATCTGAAACTGTTGGAAAATTGCAAGCATCCAAATTTTACTGATGGATATTAAGATAAAATTGTGCAAGGGCAGGCATATATAGTAGATGCGAAAACTACTTGTACTTACAATTCTGACATTTGGTCAGACAAGGCCTTAAATCTTTCTACCTGAATGTATAGATCGATTTATTTCATCTATATTTATGTACTGATAAAACAAAAAATGTTTTGATTGAGTAAACATGCAAAACATTTGAGGCGTGTCATGACAAAACCAACATAGTGGGTTTGCGACCAGCATGGATCCAGACCAGCCTGCGCATCCGCGCAGTCTGATCAGGATCCATGCTGTTCGCTTACTAACTCTATTACAAGTAGAGAAACTGATAGTGAACAGCATGGATCCTGATCAGACTGCGCGGATGCGCAGGCTGGTCTGGATCCATGCTGGTCGCAAAGCCATTATGTTGGTTTTGTCGTGACACGGCTCATTTAGTGATGCTACCACAGGAAAGTTTATTAAGGCAACATAACAGAACGCCTACACCAATCTGTTATCATTTTATGTACAGGCGATCTTTGACTTATGTTTTGAAAAATACCTATATATTTTTTCATTTGTATTTCATGACATTGCTTGTTTTAAATGCTCATACTTGTACAGTCAAACTTAGCTATTCAGACCAGTATAACTACAAAAGAGGCAAATATAAGTTTAAAATTTTGCATTCTGATTTTTTTTAAAGTTACTTGATTTATTTAATTGTTTGGAACATTGTTGAAAATAAAACTTGAAAGCATACTGACTTATGCTTGCAGTTTTGAGTCAGGCCAGTCTAGTCTCATCAAGGGAGTCTGAACAGTTTACACTGAAAGCTATTCAGTTTTGATATTTTGATACTGAATTCCTATTCACTATGAATGGACCCTTCCAAACCTAGGAACTGTGTCCGAGTGGATAATGTTGCTGACTTTAAATCACATGCCCCTCATGCTGTGTTTTTGAGTGCCGACAGGGATTTTAGATAATCTTTTATTAAGGAAATTTCCACTTAAGCTAATGGAAGGTTAGCGGTTCTACTCAAGCGCCTGATCGTGCCTATAATAATGCGCAAATTGACCTATTCCCGTGTAAATCTCTGTGAGACCTCAACAATGTCAGTGTGACTAAAGGTTCAGCAAAATAAAGAAACAAAGATTCAAATTCAAAGCAGTATAAGTTCAATATACAAATTCAGCAAGTTTAAAGATAACCTTTATTGACTGGTCTTCACAACACAAGTTTGACTGTACAATCATATCTGTAGCTATAGGTCAAATAAAAATGTTGTTGAAGTATCAGTTGCTTTACAATATCTATAAATAATTATGATGGGTTTTGTTTCAACTTTCCAAAGGTTTTTATGGTCACAATTTGATATTACATTTATTTATTGTCATCACAGTGATTTATGAAGCATGATATGTGTTTGTAAAATGTCTGTATTGTATAGGTGTTACAGTATAATACTGTAATGTATGTTACATTGTAATATAATGATATACTGTCATGTCTGTTACATTTTAATATTTGTAACAGGGAACTTTGTGTTGCAATGTAATGTATATTACAATGTAATGTATGTTACAATGTAATGTATGTTACAATGTAATGTATGTTACACTGTTATGTATGTTACACTGTTATGTATGTTACAATGTAATGTATGTTACACTGTTACAAATGTTACAATGAAACGTATATAACATTGTTACGATGTGATGTATGCTACAATGTTATGTATGTTACAATTTAATGTATGTTACACTGTAATTTAATTTATACTGTCATGTATGAATTGTAGTCATCTATGTTACACTGTCATGTATGTTACACTTTAATTGATCTACACCATCATGTATGAATATTAGTTATGCATGAGGAATACAAATATAAGTTTAATATATATTTGACACATTTACAGGTTATTGCCATATATTTTAAGTCTGATTTCGTAAAAATTGTCCTGTATTGTATCTGGAACATAATACGGTCTTGTTGTAAAGTAATCAGTGCTTCTGGATGAAACAATTTTGTCTCAGGTTGGATCAGCATAGTAGGAAGATATATGAGTGAGAGATTGTAATAGAAATTTGGCTGCCATGGCAACATTGTATTTTATCTCGATTTAATTTTCTTTCCTTTAGGATTTGTTACAGGTATACAAACATGGAAACACTGGGATTTTTATCATATAATACAAGAAGGCAGAGATGAGGTTATTAGAGGAGAAGTTACATGTAGGAATAATGATTGGTTTTTTTTCTTATTAATTTCAGGAGAAAGACACCATCATATTCAGACTTTTTATTTAACAAATTTAAAGTTCTTTACAGGATTAACCAAAATAAATGAATATATAAATTAAAATATTTGTATTTTGGTTAACATTTTACAATATGGTCGTATTTCATCTTACAGTATACATGTATGTGCATGTATGACAACTATAAGGATTTCATTAAATTGTACATTGTTGTAAAGAGTTTCAAAACTTCAGAGTAAAAATGTAGCCTCTTTATGACTAAATGATAAATTTAGAATTATAAAACAAAGATCTTAATAATTTTGAAAATATTGTAGTTCAGATTTGAAACAGTAAGCACTGGAAAATGGTCTAGAAGCAGCATTTTTAAAAACTATTGTTTGCATAGATTAACATGATCTCCATGAAATTCAGACCAATATTAAATGTTATCCAGAACTAGCAAATACAATGTTTTTCAAAGCTAATCCCCCAGTACAAACAATTTTTTACAGTTATAGCTTTAAGGTGCACTTACTGTCACAATAGATTGCTCATTTTTGAGGCTGTAACTGTAAAAGTTTGCATGTACCCCTGAATTAGCTGGGAAAACCCCAAAATATTTTTAATTCTGGAGTAAGTCTCATAAATTGTTGTCTCAGCTAAAATTTAGTTTATTAACTTACCTTAAACCCTTATTTGGATTTGTATAATGGTTTTGCCCTGCTTTGAATATTCCTTATGAAGTTTAAGTGTTTTAAAGTATCAGAATATAAAAAATGAGCTACCGACAATATAGACCCTACATACAGTTAGAATACAGTGATCATTACCTTAGTGCAGTGACATCTTTAACCTGTTATAATGTTATTGCACTAAGGTGATGAAATGAGGTGGCAAAGGTTAGACACTTTAGTTCCTCCAGATTAAAGAAGCATGGCTCCAGATTCATGCTAAATATCAGTAGGAATATGATGATAAATACTACAAAGTCAGTCATTTTTTAAGTCATGAAGACATGTAAACTATTTCTTAAATTTTGAATATTTTTACTTTTCATAAAATCTTAAAGTGTTTTACTCAAGTTTTATTTTCTTGAAATATTTTGGCTCATCTGGAGGCATGCAGCTTTAAGGGTTAAAGATAAGTTGTTTTTTGAAACAAACTATATTTTATGGTACTGAAATGCGCAATACAGAAATAGAATATATCTTTGTTTGCGGCTGAGGCAACAATAAATATTTTTCAAAGTACTTCTTTGTTTTAATAATGATTTTATTGTTAGTTGGACCGTAAGAAGAAACAGGACGAATGTTTGATGCCACTCCTTTCGCCAAAACCACCAAAGAGAAAACCTATAAATAGATCTGTGGTGCCGCGTAAGACCTCGCAAAATCTTATAGACATGGAACGATCAGAAATGAAAGATAATTTACGTCCGTCATCGGTCATGCGAGATACGGTTGGTCATGACACACAGTATTGCCTGGTCTTGTTTCCCTGCATGCTGAAATAATAACACATGCTGTATTTTGATTGGTTGTTACTGATCATGTGACTTGTTATTTTGTATTTTGATTGGTTTGTCTTGAACAATAATTAAAGCTTGCATGCCTGCTGCCTAACAATAATAACTTTGAGATTATATTTCAATTTTTGAAAATAAGTATTCCACTTTTCAAGATAGAATAATGTTTGCTAAGAAAAGAGATTTATAGGGCTGTTCCAGTGTGAAAGGGTATTAGTGGAAATCTTTGATAAATTGAAAGAAAAGTGTCCTAAAGAGCATAAAAAAGTCCTTAAATTAAATAATGGTGTACTAGAGTTAAAAAAGTGTTGTTCTATAATGAAAATCATTGTAAAAACACTGGAAAGAGTTAAGTCATTTTTTGTTCAAGCCATGCTATTCTGTTTATTGATTAATTCTGTTGTAAACAAAGGTAAATTGGTATTGTTTTCATCAATTATTCACAAAGGAATGTATTAAATCAGTAATGTTGATGGAAATGTTTCTAGTACATAGACCATAAGTAGTTTATTAAAACTTAAATTGTTATACATGTCTACATAAGTTAGCCTTGGTTCCTTCCGTATTTAGAAGTTTTAAGGTACAATGACAAGATTTAGTTTCCTAATGAATTGTTAAAATTTAACGACATTTAAGTTAATTTGTTGTTAAAGTGAACAAAAGTTTTAGACTCAACTTAGGTAGTTTAATTTCAGCTCAATTAAGAAGAAACAATTTGAGGTCATTTGAAGTTTTCTTTCTGGTGCTTCATAATTCTTACTGGTGTCATAGGCTAAAACATGGTCAACACATCCAGAAGGGCTTAAACCCATTCTTTGTCCATTCAGATGCCAGTGATTATCTATTCTGAAAGAGCTCCCAACACTGAGCTTGCCAGTCTCAGGCTCAAAATCCTAAAAACATAAAATTTGAAAGTCTTACATAGATCAACTTTTATATTCAGTATGATTTTCAAGCCTGATGTAAATGTAAAGACCCTAGATAAAAAATAACAATGATGATTCTAGTAAAACAGAGTGAAGGAATGATCGGAAATTTTGCACACAAGTAACTGGTATACACCTACATCAAATGGTTTTTAAAAAATTAAGAAATAAATTTCCAAAAGTTTTTATCATGTCATGTCTTTAATCTTGAAACGCAACGGCTCGGGTGATATAAAATCTTAACAGGTAATATATCCACATATATCACTCCAAAACCAAAATAATAATTTTATTACCCTTCCCGTGCCGAGTTAAGACGATTTTAAAATAAATAATTGCTACTTCAAATGAAACGTCGAAATAAGATTCCCTTTAGGATACCCCTTCACCATAACATGACGTCACAAATACATGACGTATTATCTTTCGAACATAACGGATGTAAACAAGAGAAAAGGAGTAGTATGTTGAACGCACTTTTTTGGAATTAATATCAAGCTTTCACAAGGTCATATTTGTTTCCTATACTGACGAGAATATGTATCATTACTCTATTTTTGTAAATATTTATCACTTGACAGTTTAAAATTGCTTGTAAATTGGAATTTATATCGCGTAAAAATCAAACCGTACGCGCATCGCACGGCGCATGTTGTTTACAACGTGGGGTACCCATCGGGGAAATTTAGTGTGTATATTACCCGTCTGGCTCGGTTATATCAATTTCTTTCGGGTGATCAATATCCAATCAAAAAGGCGGAAAAAATCTGGAATGGTAATAATATATGTTATTTTGGTTTTGGAGTGATATATGTGGATATATTACCTGTTAAGATTTTATATCACCCGAGCCGTTAGGCGAGGGTGATATTTTATCTTGGCAGGTAATATATCCACATATATCACTCCAAAACCAAAATAATAATTTTATTACCCTTCCAGTGCCGAGTTAAGACGATTTTAAAATAAATAATTGCTACTTCAAATGAAACGTCGGAATAAGATTCCCTTTAGGATACCCCTTCACCATAACATGACGTCACAAATACATGACGTATTATCTTTCGAACATAACGGATGTAAACAAGAGAAAAGGAGTAGTATGTTGAACGCACTTTTTTGGAATTAATATCAAGCTTTCACAAGGTCATATTTGTTTCCTATACTGACGAGAATATGTATCATTACTCTATTTTTGTAAATATTTATCATTTGACAGTTTAAAATTGCTTGTAAATTGGAATTTATATCGCGTAAAATCAAACCGTACGCGCATCGCACGGCGCATGTTGTTTACAACGTGGGGTACCCATCGGGGAAATTTAATGTGTATATTACCCGTCTGGCTCGGTAATATCAATTTCTTTCGGGTGATCAACATCCAATCAAAAAGGCGGAAAAAATCTGGAAGGGTAATAAAATATACAATCAAACAGTTAATTTAAAGCCTCATTAAAAATCCAGAAAAATCAAATTGTAAAAAGCAAATATATTGAGAAGTACCTGATATTTAATTGTCATTTTTATCTATGATTTAAAGATTTATTCCTTTTGATTTATGTTATTTGAAAGGATTTGTTTTTTTTAGATAAGCAAAAACCCAAAAGTATATAAATTGTTACAAAAGACTGGCTTAAAATCAATAAGCCTTCAAGGATTTAATTATAAAAGTACATTCTTTATAAGACAAGCTGATATGTTGATATCAATTTTATTTTACGTTATGTGCGAGAAGACTGTAACGAAAGCTGAATTAATGATAAATTTATAGAGATTATGTTTACTAATATAATCAAGCATGCAAATTGAGTGCTGTTGAAACTAACCAATATTTCATTTATTTTGCAGCATAAGGCATTTCTGAAAGGCTCCTGGCACAATATATTTTTATTTTCTCTTGTTATAAAGCAAAACAGATTATTATGTGTGTGTCTTGTTACTAAATTTAGGCCACTCGGGGTCGTAAGGGAGACGAGGAAGTGTTGCCCTATTTATCACCCCGATCTCACAGTCGCCCTCAGTCAGGAAAACCCTCAGAGAGTTCCTCAGGTCACCGCCGACCAAAGAGTGCACCTGCTCCACCACGAAATAGGCATCAGACCACTAAATCAGGGTATACAGATCCTTATGATGATGTAAGTGAGAAATATTACCTGTATACAGGGAAAATCTGCTAGATATACTTGTGAACCTACTTTTTAGGGGGAAAAAATCCTTGCTATTTGTTCTAACAATTTTTATTATAAAAATGATTCTGTAACATTTTTTTGTATATCTTTAATGATTTCCTTTTTATTCTTGAACATAATTATGATATTATTTTATCTAGATTTATATGTTTTTAGCATTATTTGTAACTTATTTGTAAGTTTAGAAATGCAATAATTTCAGCTTTATGATGACAATGATAATTTTAGAAGAATGGTAAAACAATAATTAAATTATCTCCCTTTATTGATCTAATGTTTCTTGATAATTAACTCCCTTTATTGATCCCAAAATCTCTTGATAATAACACATTCATAATTTATGATGCACATTCCTTTACTAATTCATGCAGAGCAGATGTGTATATGATTTATTAATAATGTTATTCCCAGTTCTACAGGTGGTGTGAACATTTGTTTAAATGAGAATATTGATGTTCCATTTATATGTATTTAACCTAACAACTAGCAGTTTTTATCCCAAGGGGAGCAACTCTCCTTTTTTTCTGCATTCATCAAGATTTTTTTTCCAAGAGAAGCAACTCTTTTTATGAAAGGTACCATTAAACCATCAGTTAATCCCATAAAAAAAGTTTTGTTATAGAGACCATGTTTTATTTCAAGGAAACATCTCTTTGACTTGTAAATGTGTCTATATTTTAATGCATGTTCATAAACATTGCTGCTGCATGTATTTATATTGCTTGCATGATTCACACATTGCTGTTCTTTTTTTTATCTTTTAATAATCTTTGATTGACAAATCTACTTACATATAAGACAGAACATTCATAAGACAGGGTATTAACATTACCGTAAAATCTTATAAGGGGGTTAAATTGTTGATGAATAAATTCTGCAATGAACTAACATGTGTGTCATATCTGAATTAATCTTTTTTTTATTGTTTTCCTGTGAAGTGTTAACTGGAATTGTCTCCCTTTCAGGTGTTAATTAGCATTATCTCTCTTTGAGCAGTTAACTAGAATTCTCTCCCTTTGAGCTGTTAACTAGAAATTGTCTTTCTTTGAGTATTTAACTTAGAAATTGTCTCCCCATTTTGAGTTGATAGGTAGAATTATCTCCCTTGAGTTGTAAAACATTTTAATTCAGCTGTAACAGATAATAAATATCAATGTTGTATTCCTTCTAAATAAAAATCTCAAATTAAACCCTCAGCCCTTGGCAAATTGTGAATAAATCTTCCATTTAGATTAGCATGTTAACGGCTAAATGAATTTTTGATAGCATTTTAATCTGGTTATTTGAATTAATCCTTATAGTCAAAGATCAGCTTAAAGGTCGATTAAACTGGTTTTTTATGGTTACTGAATATTGAAACCTTTAAGCCCTTTTATATTAAAAAACACTCTTGAATTGTATTTTATTTATATTTTCTTAGTTGGTATTGGGAAGAAAGGTGTCATTGGTTTTTGTAAGCAAGATAATTAAACATTAGAAGATTACAAACAAACAAAAATAAAGTCAATAATAAAGTTTTAAACTAAATAAACATTAAAGATTAGAAATAAATTAAGTTAATAATGTGGAAAAAAAATGTAAAAAAAAAGAAAGAAAAAGAAAATTCACATTTTTTTTTGTTAGCCTCCCACTATACTGGTGGAAAAGGCTTGTTACTTTTAGTTCCAGCAGGTAAAGTTGTTGCTTTCTGGTAAGTTAATGTGTATAAACATTGTTGTCATAAATTACACATCGAAATAGAAGAAAACTGGAAAATTGTCTCCAAAGGTTCTGTACATAAAAACAACCACCGTTATATATTCATACACACAAATCAATATTTGGTGAATATTTCATGATTTTTAGAAGAAAAAAAAAGTTTTCAAAGTTTGATCTCATGTTTGTTTAATTAAAAAAAAACCCAACATGCCACACCCTGCCTGTATCTATCTGCCTACTGTAAATCTAGTGTTTAATATTTACAACTATAAAGTCTATTGTGTAAACAGGTTTGCAAATTGCAGAGTCATAATGAAAAAAAAAACACATTCATTTTTTTAGGTTTGTCTGAAAACATGATTCACCCTGTCTTTGTCTATCTACTGTAAATCCAGTGTAATTTACAACAATTTAAACTGTTATAAATATACAATCATTCAATTTAACAGCAAAAAGAAATGAAAATTTGTAGATTTAAAATAAAAAAAAAGCCACAAGGTTTAACAGAAAAAAATCCACACTCTATTCCTATCTACTACCACCTACTGTTAATATGTACAATAATATTTTCAATTTAAATTATAAAGTCAGTTAAAAACTTGAAAAATCTTTCAATTTTAAAGCAAATTTTTTTTTTTTAAATAATTATTGCAGTCTGCAGAGTGAAAAAAAGGGAAGTTAGGTCAAGTAAGGAAATCAACCAAATCTTGAATCTCATAATTTACTACACCCTAAAGTTTAAGCATTGATTTACAAAACTCCCAATGGAATATAGGGTCGTTAAGTATGTAAATCAAATATTGACATTAAGTTTTTGAACTTTTAAACAGATCAGTACACACTATGTGAACTTCAAACAGATTTTACAGATAATGTTAATGTTATTTATAAATTTGAAGAGAAATACAACCTGGCACAGTCACTCTTAAAAGCTATTCAAAGATAAATTGAAAAAAAAGTTAATGTTGAATTTATTCAGAATTAACCCTTCACAACAAATTAACTGTTTGTCATAGAAATTAAGGAAAAAAAAGGACATTATTACTTATGAGCCGCGCCATGACAAAACCAACATAGTGCGTTTGCAACCAGCATGGATCCAGACCAGCCTGCGCATCTGCGCAATCTGATCAGGATCCATGCTGTACACTTACAAACCTTATTACAAGTAGAGAAACTGATAGTGAACAGCATGGATCCTGATCAGACTGTGGGGATGCACAGGCTGGTCTGGATCCATGCTGGTTGCAAATGCATTATGTTGGTTTTGTCATGGCGCGGCTTAAATGTTTTTAAAGTTTTTCATTTTATATTAATTAACAGTTACCCTTAACCTGCTGGAACTGAAAGTGGTCGGCCTTTGCCATCAGTATAGAGCCAGGTCAGCCTGTACATCTGTGAAGTCAGACCAGGCTCTATACTGTTGCTAGCTTTGATAGTAAAATCCCTTATAATTCTAATTGACTGTTCAAAAGTTAAAACTCAGGGGCAAGTCCATTTTAAAGAATTTCAGCAGGTTATTAGTGTTAACTTTTAAACGAAAGGCTTCAATGACTCATAATGATAAGTAAACATGATTTTACAAAGCATTCTCTGTAGATGTGTACTTAAATTCATGTAACAATATAATTAGGTAAGAAGTATTTAGCATTCTTTACTTATAATTATGACATTTCACATTTATTATTTTACTGGCTCATATCCAAATTTTGTAAGGTTTCTATTTTTTTTTTTTGGTCAAATAGAGAATAACTTTTATGTCTGAGTAATTATTTTTATGATTTGCGTAATTATTTTTATGATTTAAGTAATTTATTTTGTAGGTTGTTTATATAAACGAGGATGGCCGACCGGTGTCACCTCCGCCACCGTCAGACAGACACTCCTATAATAGCTCTCTACGAGACGTCCGGCAAGAAAATATTGACACCAGACATTTATATGCTGTGAGTTATAATTTTATGATCTATAAAATTTTTTTTCGACAGGTTGTATTACCAAGTATACCAGTATAGATGGTTGTATTTTTAGCTTATATAACCTGAGCAGCCAGGTGGGGGTTATATAGCACATGGCTATATAACGTTTCAGAGACCTTTTTTAGCTCACCTGTCACAAAGTGACAGGCTTTTGTGATCGCTTTTCGTCCGACGTCCGGCCGGCGTCCGTCCGTCCGTAAACTTTTACTTTAAATAACATCTCCTCATAAACCACTAAGCCAATTTATCCAAACTTAACAGGAATGTTCCTTTGGTGGTCACCTTTGAAAATTGTTCAAAGAATTTAATTCCATGCAGAACTCTGGTTGCCAAGGCAACCGAAAGAAAAAAAAAATAAATATCTTCTTTTAAAAAACCATAAGAGCTAAGGCTTAGATAATTGGCATGAAACATCTTCTAGTGAGTGTCTACCAAGTTTGTTCAAATAAAAGCCCTGGGGTCAAAATTGGCCCCGCCCGGGGAGGGGGGTCATTAATTTTCCCTATATGCATATAGTAAAAACTTAAAAAATCTTCTTTTAAAGAACCAAAAGAGCTAGAGCTTAGATATTTAGCATGAAACATGTTCTAATGGGTGTCTACCAAGTTTGTTCAAATAAAAGCCCTGGGGTCAAAATTGGCCCCGCCCAGAGGGGTCATTGATTTTCCCTATATGCATATAGTAAAAACTTAAAAAATCTTCTTTTAAAGAACTCAAAGAGTTATGGCTAAGATATTGAGCATCAAACATGTTCTAATAGGTGTCTACCAAGTTTGTTCAAATAAAAGCCCTGGGGTCAAAATTGGCCCCGCCCCAGGGGGTCATTGATTTTCCCTATATGCATATAGTAAAAACTTAAAAAATCTTCTTTTAAAGAACCAAAAGAGTTAGAGCTAAGATATTTAGCATGAAACATGTTCTAATAAGTGTCTACCAAGTTCAAATAAAAGCCCTGGGGTTAAAATTGGCCCCGCCCCGGGGGGTCATTGATTTTCTCTATATGCATATAGTAAAAACTTAAAAAATCTTCTTTTAAAGAACTCAAAGAGCTATGGCTAAGATATTTAGCATCAAACATGTTCTAATAGGTGTCTACCAAGTTTGTTCAAATAAAAGCCCTGGGGTCAAAATTGGCACCGCCCTGGGGGTCATTGATTTTCCTTATATGTGTATAGCAAAAACTTAAAAATTCTTCTTTGAAAAAACCCAAATAGCTTGAGTTAAGATATTAAGCATGAAACATCTTTTAGTGAGTGTCTACAAAGTTTGTTCAAATAAAAGACCTGGGGTCAAAATTGGCCCCGCCCCGGGGGTCATTGATTTTCTTTATATGTGTATAGCAAAAACTTAAAATCTTCTTTGAAAAAACCCAAATAGCTTGAGTTAAGAATATAAGGTGGAAAATTTCTGAAAGGGTGAAAATAGGTGGCATTTAGTGGAAACTGAATTTGCCACTTTGTGGTGGAAAAATGGTGGAAAAGTGTCTAAATACTCCACCAACTTTCCACCCTAATGGTGGCAAAAGGTGGAAATAAGTGGCATTTGGTGGAAAATGAGTTTGCCACTCAATGGTGGCATAATGGTGGAAATTTGTCTAAATACTCCACCATCTTTCCACCATGATGGTGGCAATTAGTGGAAACAAGTGGCATGCAGTGGAAAATGAGTTTGCCACCCTAAGGTGGCATAATGGTGAAAGTTTGTCTAAATACTCCACCAACTTTCCACTCAATGGTGGCATTAAGTATAAAAAAGGTGGAATTAACTGGAAAATTATATACCATCAGTCCTGCTCAAATTTTTCACCATTTTCATGATTTGGGTGGCATTTTGGTGGCATTATTGGTGGAAAATTGTCTAAATACTCCACCATTGAAAAGGGTGGCATTTAAGTGGCAAATCTAGGGACGGGTATTAAGCATGAAACATCTTTTAGTGAGTGTCTACAAAGTTTGTTCAAATAAAAGCCCTGGGGTCAAAATTGGCCCCGCCCGGGGGTCATTGATTTTAACAATATGTGTATAGTAAAAACTTTAAAAAAATCTTCTTTTAAAAAGCCCAACGAGCTAGAGCTTAGATGTTTAGCATGAAACATCTTCTTATGGGTGTCTACCAAGTTTGTGCAAATAAAGCCCTTGGGTTAAATTGGCCCTGCAACTTTGGGGGGTTGTGGGTTGGGGGGGGGGCTATATACAGGTGAGCGACCTCAGGGCCATCATGGCCCTCTTGTTAGCTTATATAACCTGAGCAGCCAGGTGGGGCTTATATAGCACATGGCTATATAACGTTTCAGAGACCTTTTTTTAAATTCTTAAAAATTAAAATCAAAATAATATTAATAGAATTGTAGATAGCCATGAATTGATTGTGGAAACGAAAAATGAATTTATGATTGTCCCAGGAAAATTGACAAACATACACTATTATATATAATTTGGATATTATGTTACAGTACAAACATTTTAAGTGAGCCATATATCTTTAAGATAAGAAAACCATGTACATGTATACATATTAATGAATTCAATTGTCATGGTGAAGAAGAATGTTATTTTGTTATTACAATGTCATTTTTGTTGCAGCTTGACTCCGAAGCCCTGCAGCAGTATGCTCTCAAATTATCAAAGGCAGACAAAGGGAGAGATGGGGCCTCTTCACCGTATCTTATATCCCAGATTCCTCAACCACCAAGACACGAGCGTGCAAGGTCGGCAAAATCTCCGCGTAGATCAGGACGAATGTCTGCTCGTCCGGACAGCAGCAGACGGCAGGGAGTCAGTGTAAGTTTTATTTATATGTTGATCATGCTGTATATTCCACATCTATATTGCAGGATATAATGCCCAATTTGATCTTGAGTAGAATCATGCATACAAAATTTGGTCTACTACAAGCATTTCATTTCATTTAAATTATGTGTTTGGTAATGTCTTCAAATGGCACTCATTCCCTTTCATCTTAGGCAAATCTTTTATCACCCTGTGTTTGAACATGTATTTCTTTGAGATATTTCTGTAAGAATGAATTTGTAAATATTGATATATTTATGTGTAATAATCCATATATTAATTCATAATTATACTCATATATGCAAATATATCTGTATTGTTTCCAAAATTTTTTAATATACCCTTAAATCAAATATATTTTAATTGTTAATTTTTTTCAAATATACCTTCAAAGATTATTGATTTAAGATTTTCCAAATATACCCTCAAAGCATTATACATATATAAGTATATCTGTTTTATACTTCAAATCTTTATTCTCTATGCAAATACATGCATGTGATCTGGTTCATCAAGGCATTATCTTATTATGTGATATGAATAGTCTTTAAACCAAATTGAAAAATTGCTTCTTTTTTTAGATTAATTTAAAACGTATTTTAGTTGAAGTTCAAATCTATGTGAAATCTCTGATCTCTATCAGTTATAACTGACTATTTCATTTCCATCTAAAATGTTTGCTTTGTAGGCATTTTATTTAATTATTTTCACCTTTGGCTTTGAGGGTCTTAATTAAGGGCTTTGATTTTGAGAGTTAAGAACTTTGGTATTGAGATTAATTTAATTTGGTTTAGAGACTAATACATAATTATATACTGGTAAACAAATATCACACTTGTCATGGAATGAAACTTATATTGACCCATTGTGCACAATACTCATGTATGGACCTTTTTTTACCCCTTGGTTTACAGAATGATAGCATCGAGCGATCCCAGAAAGATTCCTCTACAGTTGAAGTATGTTGTATATAAAAAAACCCCAATTGTTCACATCTCTCACTCATTCACTGTTACAATAATATATTTTTTTCTGGCATTTTCCTTTTTGTGTTTTGTATATGTATATATTTACTGATTTACTGTAAAAAATGAAATCTTATTTTTTTAGCTCACCTGTCACAAAGTGACAGGGTGAGCTTTTGTGATCGCTTTTCGTCCGGCGTCCGTCCGTTCGTCGTCCGTCGTCCGTCCGTAAACTTTTGCTTTAAATGACATCTCCTCATAAACCACTGAGCCAATTTCATCCAAACTTCACAGGAATGTTCCTTTGGTGGTCACTTTTAAAAATTGTTCAAAGAATTTAATTCCATGCAGAACTCTGGTTGCCATGGCAACCGAAAGAAAAATCTTTAAATATCTTCTTTTAAACAACCCTAAGAGCTAGAGCTTAGATATTTGGCATGAAACATCTTCTAATGAGTGTCTACCAAGTTTGTTCAAATAAAAGCCCTGGGGTCAAAATTGGCCCCGCCCCGGGGGGTCATTGATTTTCCCTATATGCATATAGTAAAAACTTAAAAAATCTTCTTTTAAAGAACTGTAAGAGCTAGAGCTAAGATATTTGGCATGGACATCTTCAAGTGAGTGTCTACCAAGTTTGTTCAAATAAAAGCCCTGGGGTCAAAATTGGCCCCGCCCCGGGGGGTCATAGATTTTCCCTATATGCATATAGCATATAGTAAACACTTAAAAAATCTTCTTTAAAAGAACTGTAAGAGCTAGAGCTTAGATATTTGGCATGAAACATCTTCTAGTGAATGTCTACCAAGTTTGTTCAAATAAAAGCCCTGGGGTCAAAATTGGCCCCGCCCCAGGGGGTCATTGATTTTCCCTATATGCATAAAGTAAAAACTTAAAAAATCTTCTTTTAAAGAACCCAAAGAGCTAGAGCTTAGATATTTGGCATGAAACATCTTCTAGTGAATGTCTACCAAGTTTGTTCAAATAAAAGCCCTGGGGTCAAAATTGGCCCCGCCCCAGGGGGTAATTGATTTTCCCTATATGCATATAGTAAAAACTTAAAAAATCTTCTTTTAAAGAACCGTAAGAGCTAGAGCTTAGATATTTGGCATAAAACATCTTCTAGTGAATGTCTACCAAGTTTGTTCAAATAAAAGCCCTGGGGTCAAAATTGGCCCCGCCCCAGGGGGTCATTGATTTTCCTTATATGCATATAGTAAACTTATAAAAAAATCTTCTTTTAAAGAACCCAAAGAGCTAGAGCTAAGATATTTAGCATGAGACATGTTCTAATGGGTGTCTACCAAGTATGTTCAAATAAAAGCCCTGGGGTCAAAAACTGGCCCCGCCCGGGGGTCATTGATTTTCCTTATATACATAGCAAAAACTTAAAAATCTTCTTTGAAAAAAACCCAAATAACTATAGTTTAGATATTAAGCATGAAACATCTTTAAGTAAATATCTACAAAGTTTGTTCAAATAAAAGCCCAGGGGTCAAAACTGGCCCTGCCCGAGGGGTGTCATTGTTTTTAACTATATGTGTATAGTAAAAACTTAAAAAATCTTCTTTTAAAAAACCCAATGAGCTAGAACTTAGATGTTTTGCATGAAACATCTTCTTATGGGTGTCTACCAAGTTTGTGCAAATAAACAAATAAAAGCCCTTGGGTAAAAATTGGGCCGGGGGGGGGGGGGGGCTATATACAGGTGAGCGACCTCAGGGCCATCATGGCCCTCTTGTTTAATGATATTGACCAGTCATTAGTTTTCAGTATTTTGACACTGCTTTTCAATATAACCCAAAAAGCATGTAAATTTAATTCTAAAAAGTAAAAAATAGTGTAAATCACTGAAAAGTCATTGTGTTACTGTAAATTCACTTAATTTTGTGGGCATTAAATTTTTGTGTTTTTTTCATTTCATGGGATATTAAGTTCATAGATTGTCTGTTTTTGCGGAAAAAAAATAAATGCAGAAAATATGAAAAAATAATTTTTACAGCAAACAAAATAAAATTTTGTTACTTCTTAATTTTGTCGGTTGACTTTTGCAAGAAAACCATGAAAATAAGTGCCACACAAATAGTGATTATTTTGCAGTTTTAGTTCAATGAATTTAAATTTATACTTTATTTCATAGATTTATGGTCAGAAATTCCTCAATATTGTACGTTGTTATATCAGAAAATGCCAGAAATAGTTATCAGTTATAACATTTATTCTCTTATCGATATTCATACATTTAAGAATTTTTACTTATTTTTACCTACACCTCCTATTAATTTCTATATTAATAACTTATTATTATTAAACATGGTTGTAGTTGTATGACAGTTAATTGTTCTGTCTGACGTAGATAGTCCAGAAAAATAGTTCTGTTACTGGTATCGCCACCTAGTGTCATGTCCTCTTTTTTATAACTATTGCGCTTACACGATTCATTTGCCTATTATTATATTTAAAAAGTACATAACAAAAGAAAAATTTCTTCTACCTACTGTCATGTTTTGGTGGGCGTAGAACCAGAAACAGAAATTTTTCTTGGCCCTATTATTATTACTCAACCACATACTGCAATGGTGATATCTACCTTATATTAAAGCAGCTGTACCTTTGTCAGAGACACCATTGAAGCATGTGCTACTTTAGGACAATGATTTCCTTTTAATCATTATGATAGTTAGTTTGTACTTTAAGGATAATGTTTCACCACATATTTCTATACCTAATTAGAGGGTTAATTTTCCTTTTTGCCATGCATTGAGATCTGCAGAAGCATGAGGATGTACATTTAAAGCCTGTCAGCCCAGAGGGCGAGGGATTGAATTAGTCCAAGGGCTTCTGCAGAATGTTAATGCATGCAAAAAAGGTGCATTAGCCCTATTCTTGCATAAAAGTATAAGCCTGATTTGGTTATTCGACATACTTTTCATTATTTATACATCATAATTATAAAGAAACTGCTTTTCACCAGTGTGATGCAATTTGATAGTTATGTTTAGATGACGAAACTATCGGGTCATTGCAATCAGCTTACTTTATACATTGTCTTGAGTCAAAAATAAAAAAATGAAACAATGGCGCAAGCTTGGTACACCTGTGTGCGCAGTTTTTATGCAAGAATTAAGGTTATTGTTTCCTTTTGACAATACAGTAGTATTTCTATACCTTTTATTGTCATCATTAACATGTTACCAATTTAATTTGTTGTTTTATCACTTGCACAGCATGAAGTAGAGAGTCCACATAGTGAAGTGAGTTACCTCCCCTGTTGGTTTTGACACCATTTGCACAACATTATTTTATCTTTTTGTGTGTGTTCTGCTTGAAGACAGTTGTTTCCCTTGATTTATGTATTTTCACAGATTTTTAAAAAAGTCTTTTTATCAGATATAGTGAAAGAAAAAAAAATTGTATGTTACTATATGAAAAAATGTAATTTGTTTTAATTTAAAATTAAATTAATCTAAATCAACAGGCAACTTGTTTTCAAGTAAAACATCACATAGAAAAATAGGCCCAAATGTCTCCGTGTTTTACAGCATTGTTTGCCTCTTCAGAATCATTTTATATTTCACATTTAAAGCAGCACGCCTCCAGATTCTTGCTAATTTTCATGAAAATTTGAAAATGTATTTAAACAGTATAATATTGTGAAGTTACCGGAATAATGCAATTTACACATTATCAATGGCACTTACAACCCATGTGAATAACCATAAAGAGGTCAAAATATGCAAAAATAGCCCTTCCTGCGTTAGTAACGCAGTAGAAATAAAGTTATAAATACTGAAAAATCGGTAATTAATCGCACACAACATGTAAATTATTTCTAGAATAATGACTCTTTATACTTTTCCTAAAATCTTAGTACATTTTTCTCAGGAATATTTTTGCTCATTTGGAGGCGTGCAGCTTTAATTATGTTACACAATTTAGCACATGAAATAATAAGCTTGTTAGAGGAAATGATACACTGTCATTTATATAATTGCACTTTATGGTCATTTTTTGCACAATAGAATGTTTTATAAAAACATCTTTAACATTGATTTTATATTGAAAAATACATTTCCCTTAACATAATGGTTCCAAATAGAATTTGAGAACCAGGTACATGTATATCCATTCTTTGCCTTTTTGGGTGATTGAATTTTTTATTTTTTTTATTGTGCGTTAAAAATAGTTTTGAATGAAATGCAATGTTATGTTGTATACTGCATTATTAGAAACAACTCATTGCCATTATGAGTGCATTTTCAAAAAAAATCAATTCATAGTGCTAAATTTGAATACTTTTCCATTATCATATTGTAGAGTGTTTACCTTAACAAATACCTTACCATTAACATTTATTGTTTTACAGCTGCTCTTTTCTAGAAGCTGTTATGTGCCAGTTGTGCCTTTTTTCATGTGGCTCAACAGGAATATTGGGGAAAAAATTCTTTATTTTACATTTTTGCATACTTTCATGTCTGTGTTAGTGTAAAGGGTCAAAAATCAAAGGTCAAAAGAAACCACAAATTTCAATTATCTTTATATTCATGACTTTGTGTCGAGAATATATCACATGAGATTAAATGGTCAGAAGGTAAAATTATCTTAATAATTGAGGAATTTATCTTGTTTATCATATTTCGGGCTGTTATAGCTCTGCTCATGAAAGATTATACATGGCACACAAAAAAGTTACCAAAGCTTTTCAGAACTATGATGAAGATAACTTGACATGGCTTTAACTTTCCTCATCAGCTTGAAATAATTGTTTTGTCATACCAATTTTTGTTTTATTGAACAGTATTTTAAAGAGCTTGTAATGAAAATTTATTGAAGTATTATTTTTATTATAGTCTGGTTAAGAAAAAATCATAATGATGCTCTGTCATCTGATTGGTTCATTTTTAGAAGAAAATTTGAAAATAGACTGGTAGTAAATTTTTATTTCCAGACTGGACTACAGTGAAGAAAATATTTGATATTCCAAAATTTTCCAATAATATATGCAATCCTTCACCAGTGCTTGAATGAAAATTGACCTTTGAGCCTTTGCCAGTAGTTTAGGCCTGTCCAATCTGACCAGGCTTATAGTCTGTTGGCGGACCAACTTTATTTTTTTATTCATCTTGACTAATAATATATAGTTACAAAATTGAAGCTGAACAAGTCATTTTAAGAAAACAGCAGTTAATTAGGGTTAATAAATGAACTGTTTTTTTTGTATTTGCCTGAAGTTATCATAATTTTCATACATTTATATAACAAATCATCTTTTGCAATGAGATTTTAATATGCATGGTTGTGAAGTGGAAACAGATTTGATTAATTTTCAGTTTTCTTTCTTTACACTTATTTTAATGTAACAAAATTATTTTATAAGGAATTTGCAGAAACTTTAGAAGGTTTAATACTGGTATTATATTAAAGTGAGTAAGTTTAATATATGTAGTGTTAAGATGGTAAGTTAGAGTCAGATATTAAAATGGCGTGGAGCTTTTTACTAGTCTCATTGTGATTTAGGGGCTCATCAACTTTGCTGGTAATAAAATTGTTTCGAGATGGATAAGATTGAAATAACACTACACAATGCCTGGTCATGAGAAATTTCAAATTTATTTTGTAGGGGGAAAAAATACATTTTCTGACACACTTTGTATTACAGTGTTAAACTAAGCAAATAATTTCCTCCGGGTAGAATTATCAATATTTTTGTAAAGGATATTTATATAACTAAATAAGGACCTCAGATTGAAGTCATATATGCATCTTATGTATATATTGATATTTTATATTGTATTATTTCAGGGTAACTTGATGCTCCACAGACAGGAGCCGGCCATGATGCACCAGGGCGAGGTACAAACACTGTGTGAAATCACTATGAAGTATCACGGTCCCAACTTGACCTTGCCCCGGGACCAGTTTGACCCAACCCAGGAGGTCAGCATTGAGCAGCAGCACTGTGGGGGCAACACTCTACCTGTGTTTAAAGAGAGACTACAGGCTGGCAGTATGTACAAGAATATATCTTTGTTTTATAATCTGCAAATTGCCTTAATAATAAATACAATGCATTGATACTTTACAAGAGTAATTGTCGATTTGATTGTCACATAAGTTGCCAAACACATTCCACTTAATATATTCATATGGACACACTAGTGATAAAGTATGGAGAGCATTGGTTAAGAAATCAAGGTGTAGCTCACTCGATCACAGGTTTAATCCTTTGCACAGGTGAAATTTCTCTGTGACAATTAATCTTTGACATTGAGTCTTCACAGTGATGATTTAAAAATCATGTGCAATAATTAGTGGAATAGATTTAATATTATTGGTGAGTTATCAAGGAAAGTAGGGTAGGTGGTTAGATATGATAACAAATGTGTTGAAATTGAGGATTTAACAAAGAAAAACAGAAAACAAACAAACAAAAATTTAGTATCTATATTATTGTTATATCATGTATTAATTATATTTGATTTTCAGGTACATTCTCGTTCATATCTCGTCGTCATCGAGGATATCCATTTAGTTTGACATTGTACATTGACGGACGTGTAGACTGTCGTGTAAGCACGTGTTGCGAGTACAAGCACGGGATTGGCGTGAAGCTTGGAGGTAAAATGGGACATTTCAGTCTCACAGGAATCACTGGGGCAACACCATGCTACAAGTAAGCTTACTTATATAAACAGTTACTGTAATCATTATATAAGAATATAACTTGCACATAACTAAAATTGTTAAATGGTGTTGGCAGTTTTTGCCTCTGAAATCATCCATTGTTAAATTGAGGATTGCTGATTTATTAAAATAACTAAAATTGTAAAATTGACTTGGTCCTGCTTTGAATTTTGCAATTCCTATTGTCATTCGAAAGAGTGTTTATATTAAATTAAAAAGCTAGGTTTTATATGATGGGAGTTGCCTCACTTTGAATGTTGAACATTCTGTTGTGATTATAAGGGGTGTATATATTATGGTCTAGCCCTGATTTAAGTATTGGCACTTGAATATAACCACTGACTTATGATTTGGCTAGAAAGCTTCTACATATGTTTTGAGCCCACAGTGGAGACAGACATATGTTCTGAAGCTGGGAACTTTAACATTTTGGCCATGGAGGTCACATGATTTGATATGATGTTTACACTTGATCTGAACTTTTCTATACCTCTAGTGCAGGCCTAGATCAGCCAGCACATTCCTGCCATCTGATCTTGGCCTTAACTGTTAGCTAGTCTTAACTGCTTGCTGTTTATAATTATACAGTACAGAAAATTTCCATAAAAAATGAATAAAATTAATGAATGGTTTTGTCCAGATTGAAAGATGGACAGGTCCATTTATGATATGTAGGGTGGTATAGGGTTAATGTACATAATATATAATTATCATACATGATTATTTAAGGTGTAAGTTGAGCGTACAGGCACCACCTAGAAGTCTGAAGTTGAAGAAAGGCTACAGGAAAAAGAAGACTCAGCAGACGGACGAGGTTGTTACAGTTGAAGGAACCCCAAGAAGGGCAATTACCCCAAGTACCCCAAAGGAGGAGAAAAGTGATGATGGTAAGATTCTAAGAGACTATCTGTTATGTTCACTTGAATAGAGGTGATATTGAAACAATTCTTTTCTAATTAAATGCTTTGTTACTTCTTGTATATTTTTGACAAGCTTTTGCCCTATTAAAATCATATGTACTGTTTTTTATGCTTTTTCAAAATTTTTAAAAGAGTGTAACTCTTTTCCAGTTTGTTCTTCCTCCATCACACTAACCTTTTCTGAAAGCAACTTTTACTCAACCAATTTCTTGAGATATTTGGTCTGTTGGCTCTTTCCATTGACTTTTTAACCATTTAATTATGGTGTCATGTCTATATTGTGAAGGCCATTGAAGCTTAAAATAAATTTTCCTACTTTTCTTTTATGGGTAGAATCTGTTGCTGTCAACATGGCAAATTTTTTAAAAATTTAAGACAACTTTATTGGAAAACAAGAGTTGACAACTTTATTGGAAAACAAGAGTTGACAACTTTATTGGAAAGCAAGAGTTGACAACTTTATTGGAAAACAAGAGTTAACAACTTTATTGGAAAACAAGAGTGGAGTCCTTTTAAGCATATTTATATTAACTTAGTACTGATAGTAAATTCATGTAATGTAATACTCAGCAGATAGTTGTAGGTTTGTAGTGGATAAGAATAGTTTGTTTGGAAACATATATTTTACAAATGGATTAGACTAAGCTATGTAATTGAAAGTATTTAACCCTCATCCTGCTGGAAGTGGAAGTAATTTAAACCACCAGTGTAGAGTCAGGCTAGGATGCATATATACTTTTGACATAAAGCTTAAAACCTCCTTGCACTCTAGGTTTGAATCCTGCCAGGAGTTTTGGATATTTTCAAGAGAGGAAGCTATCCGATGAGCTTAGTGAACATTGGTGGTTCTACTCAGGTGCCCACTCTTACCTAAAATAATGCACAAATGGGCATGTGAGGTGTTTCTTCATCAGTAAAGCTTGAGTGTTGCCAATGACCCCTTCTGGAAATGTGTGACTTTCAACCCACCCATACTAATGAAAACAAAGCTATAAACCTAAGTCTTGATTCTGTCTACAATTGTTTATAATGTTTTATTTGGTCTCATTTTGACTTTGGTTTCTTCTTCTTCTAAATGCTATCAGAGGAAACAGTTAGAATAGAAAGACATGAAATTGATGATTCTGAGGACGAGGAACATGTCGAATCTGCTAGAAACGTTGTAGTTTCTGTAGAAGATGATGATACATCAAAGGGAGGTAACTCTATGAAGAGTAATTTCAGGGGTGACAAGTTTGTACCTCACAAGTCCAACAGAGTTAAAAGTGCAGGTGTTAATAATAGAAGAAAGTCAAAGGAGGAAATGGACAAAAATGTTGAGAAAGTTACTGATGATTATAAAGACAAGAAAACTGAAGAGAGTTCTCTAAGTGACAATGTGGTAGATGTAAAAGGTGCAGAACAGACCAACTATGATGATACAGTTTATGTTAATGGCACAAAAGAAAGAAGAACCTCGGGACACAGTGTAGGCAACCATGTAGAACATGATTCCTGTAACCAAGATACCTATAATGAGATAGGAGAGGAAATATTTAGTGAGTACAATGATAAAACTAGAGCTGATGATATCATCGAAGAAGAGATAGGTGGAGATTTCATCTCAGAGAAGAATGAAATGAAGGGAGGTAATAAAATCCAAAAACAGAAAAGTGTAAGCATTGAAGAAGATATAGCAGAAAATAGTAACCTTGGCAACAAGTCAGCTGATATTCAGCGGGAAAGTGATGAACAGATAGTTGAAGAAATAGATACAGCAGAAAAGAGTGAAAGCGAAATAAAGACAGTGTCTGACAATGTTTACCAAAATCACAGAAAGGAGTCTGGTCAGCCTAATGGTGATTATAAAACAGAATGATGTTGTCTTCACCAAAATGTATTTTATTTCAGTTTTCTGTGTTTTACTTTCCATTTTGAAGTCTATTCAGTTCATTGATGGCATTTTTTTTAGTTGTTTGTGTTTCACATTCCCATTTAGTTTATTTATTAATTTTATTTTTAGTTCATTGTGTTTTATTTTCCCTTTTAGTTTATAAAGTCCATTTATGTTGTTCTTTTCCTTTCATTTTTTTTGTGCCTTATAAGGTATTATCTGATTTTTTTCCAGATTTTTTTTAAGTTTTTGATTTTCATTTTATGCATGTATGGATGTGGATTTTTAGTTGCATATTTCAGATTCCAATATGTGTTCTTTGAATTAAGCTTTGCATGATTCTTAGTTACCACTACTACAGTTAGTTAATATGTGATATTTCTTTTCTTTTTTGTTTAGATTTTCACTAGCACCTATGTTTTGTACCATCTTGGATAAATGCATGCTAGAACTTTTAAACAGACAAAGAATGTTTCTAACGTAATACACTTATCAATAGTGAGCATAAATTTGACAAACTTTGTCTTTTTCCTCATGTTTGATATTCAGGCCACCAAGTTGAGTCAATAGTTTGACAGGTGTTTGCATTATAAACAACAAATCTGTCGCTTTAAGGATCATTTTTGACTGCGCCTCACCCACTTATTACAATTTATATTCAAGGTACTTGATATATAAACTGCTTAAGGACTAACTGCTTTAAAAGATATCAGGTTTATGTTATTAATTTGACACTATACTCACTTGAAAAAATGAACGTAAATACTCAAGTACTGAAACTGCTACCCGATGTCATCCTTGCGTTTCAAGTATTAGTCAATTAAATAATACATCGCATGTCAAATACATGTGTATTTATACAAATGACTATTAGTAATTACAGATATATTGTATTGACATGTTATGTAGGTTAGAGAAAGTTTTATTCATTAAAAAAATCATTCACTAGACACACCTGCCCTACATTATGGCAAAGATCAGTTGTATAGAAACAAAAAAATCTTCTTCTGTTCCTAGTGTTGTAACTATTAATGCAGTGGCATAGCATTTTTTCACAAATGCAATTTTGTTCATTATTGTATTGTGTTATTCTTTGTCTAGCATGCATTTTCCATATGTTATCCTGTTATCCTTTACTATAAGTGTTTGGTTTTTTTTGGAAAACTCCAGAATGATCTTCTGTCAAAGATGAAATGTGTCAAAAAATAACAATTTAAATGATTATTTTGTAGTAGTTGATGTCTTTGTTATCCCCCGCCGATGGAATCGGGAGGGGGATATAGTTTTGGCGTTGTCCGTCCGTCCTTCCGTCCGTCCGTCTGTCCGTCCGTCCGTTCGTCCATCCGTCCGTCCGAATTTCGTTTCCGGAGTAGTTCTCTGCAACTAATGGCTGGAATTCAACGAAAGTTTATGGGAATGTTGATCAGCATGTGAAGTTGTGCACCTGGGTATTTTCGTCAGGATATTTTTAGTATTTTTAGAGTTATTGCCCTTGACTCATTAAAATTTTGTCTGAATTTCGTTTCCGGAGAAGTTCTCTGCAACTAATGGCTGGAATTCAACGAAAGTTTATGGGAATGTTGATCAGCATGTGAAGTTGTGCACCTGGGTATTTTCGTCTGGATATTTTTAGTATTTTTAGAGTTATTGCCCTTGACTTAGTAAAATTTTGTAATTTTCAACTTGTGTCGCATGTAACTCAAAAAGTATTTGACCTAGAGTCATGAAACTTTACAGGAATGTTGATCAGTATGTGTAGTTGTGCACCTGGGTATTTTCGTCTGGATATTTTTAGTATTTTTAGAGTTATTGCCCTGGACTTAGTAAAATTTTGTAATTTTCAACTTGTGTCGCATGTAACTCAAAAAGTATTTGACCTAGAGTCATGAAACTTTACAGGAATGTTGATCAGTATGTGTAGTTGTGCACCTGGGTATTTTCGTCAGGATATTTTTAGCATTTTTAGAGTTATTGCCCTTGACTCAGTAAAATTTTGTCCGAATTTCGTTTCCGGAGTAGTTCTCTGCAACTAATGGCTGGAATTCAACAAAACTTTATGGGAATGTTGATCAGCATGTGCAGTTGTGCACCTGGGTATTTTCGTCTGGATATTTTAAGTATTTTTAGAGTTATTGCCCTTGACTTAGTAAAATTTTGTAATTTTCAACTTGTGTCGCATGTAACTCAAAAAGTATTTTACCTAGAGTCATGAAACTTTACAGGAATGTTGATCAGTATGTGTAGTTGTGCACCTGGGTATTTTCGTCTGGATATTTTTAGAGTTATTGCCCTTGACTTAGTAAAATTTTGTAATTTTCAATCACAATCATCAGTCACACGGTGCCAGAAAAGGAGTTTCAAAAATGCAAAATTAAAAAATCTATTCTGACAGTACAAGGCCTAGAGCTTTGATATTTGGTATATGATATAACATATAGGTCCTCTGCCAAAATTGTTCAAATTTTAGCCCTGGGGTCAAAATTGGCCCCACTCAAGGGGGTCATAGATTTTCCTTATATGTATATAGTGAAAACTTAAAAACTCTTCTTGTTTGAAGGTACAAGGCTTCAAGTTCAAAGAATATTACAGTTTATGCCATGATTAATATATAAATAAAGCCTTATGTCTTCAGTTGTTGTGTTAATAATAACCAGTACTCGGCGGGGGATATAAATTCAACGAATTTGCTTGTTAAATACTAGAATAGAAAACTGCTAATAGGGCCACTTTTAAAATTTATTTAAAATTCTATATTAAGATATACCATCTCTTAAAAAGGGTCTGTTTTTAGAGTAAACCACACTATATTAAAAAAATTCCTTCTATTATATTTTAAGATTTTTTCAGTTGAGATTGTAGAGCTATCAAATTTTTTTTAAACTTTACTTTTTTACTTATTTAGATTGATTTCACTTTTGTCTATTTTCAGATAATTATGATGACGATTTCGAGGAGGAAGATTCAAAAGGTTAGTGTTTTATTTTATTCCAGTTTTGATGTGACTATCCTAAAATAACCTATGGTTATGAACATCATTTATTAGACACGACCCGATTTTAGCTCTGTCCCTTACTTTTCATTGGTTATTTTATCATTTTGAATGATAGGTTGTCAAAGATGAATATTATATATTCGAAAGTGTCTCTTAACTTTTGTTTATAACCATGGAATCTGTACACTTCTTATATGAGATTTTATTACCCCACCCACTACAGACTTACAGTTGAATTTGACATGACTTCAGACGCACTAGACGAACACTCGATATAATCTAATCTCATTCTTTCATCCATCAGTTTGCAGACATACAAAGTATTCTAAAGACATTTAGACTTACTGACTTCAAATAAAATACCAAATAATTGTCAGTTTGATATTGCGATAAAAAAAAAAAGTGTGATCATAAATGAATTGGTGATTTTCAGGTGGGAAGCATTCAGGTTCTGAATCTACTAGTAGCTCTTCCTCCTCCTCGTCTTCCAGTTCAAACTGAGTATTACAAGATATATAGCAATGTTAAATGGTTTTACTCTTAGCTTCAAACGTAGGCCTAATTTTGCACCGTTCATAGGTCTCAATCACTTGCGTGTTATATAACACACTATGCTTTAAAGCCCCAATCTTCATAACCATAGTGAATATATAAGAAAAAAAAGAAGATTTACAAAACCCCAGATTTCACAGCCATAGTAAATATATAAATGAAGGTAATTAAGAAAAACCCCAAATGTCACAGCCATAATGAAATATAATTTTTAAAGAATATTAAAAACAAAAAAAAGCTTGCTTTCTTTTAATTATTATTGATATTAGCCAAATGTGATTGCTTTTCATTTAGTTATTTTAAGTAAATGCTATAAAAAAAATGTCAGTATTAAATTAAACCCTAAATAGTATTTTAAGGCAGTATTAACAAAGTCATACTAAAGTTTAACTCAGGTTTTATTATTTATTCAATTTGTACATTGTAATTTTTTATCAAAAAATTATGCAATTATGAATTAAACCAGAACAGGTAAAATATGCTAGTAAAATTATTCTTTGGTAATAATGGAAAAAAAATTGAGATACATGTATTATTGATTGTAATTTTGGGACTTCTTTTTCAAGATGTTCAGACTGTGTACTTTGGTTATAATGTAATGCTTGTATACTTTTCTTTATGCATTGAGCTATGTTATTAAATTGTTGCCTCAGCACAGACCATTGTAGCTGCGAATTAACCAAAATACAACACTGTTAAATCTGGCATTGCTTTAGTTTTAGAAATTTCCATTTATTATTTTAAGGGGTGAAACTGTCAAAAAGTTAAATTTGAATAATGGACCCACCTTTGAATTTTTCAATTGTCATTGTTAGGGGATTATTTGAGTGGACAGAACAAATGTGTTGACATGGCTCAGACTTTACATTGGCTGCACTAGCAAGTTAATTGTTACAGCAGTTGGTGTTTTAAAGGTGTAACAATTAACCTGCGGGAATGGAAAATGATTTAAGTCTTTGCCAACAGTATAGAACCAGTCTTACCTATACATTAGTACAGTCTGACTAGACTCTCTTATATTGGTAGCATTGTCACTGTAGTTACGAGTTAACTCCCTTTTAAATTATAATAGGAGATAACCTGTTACTGCACTAAAGGTGATGATATTTGTGTTTTGATACTGAAATCCTTTGAACTTTAAAATGGACTTCTAAATACTTAAAGCTGGGCAAATCCATTGTATACAAAATTAGGAGGTAAAAGATTGCAGGTACAGAAGTCTTTTGCTGAGTCAACAAATTATGGAAGCCAATGATTTTACTTGCAAAACTGCTTCTATTATTAGAGTGGGCTGATGCTGTTTGAACAGTTTACTACACCTTAACAACAAACATTTTAGTCAGATGGCACTAAATTAACTTATACATAGTATAGACTTAATCAACTATTTGGTATAATAACATTTTGAAGAAAAAAAACTTTGAAAAATCTTTTATATACACAATATTTATGTATAGTAATGTAATATGAAAATTTTGATTAAAGTACAAAATAAATCCATATTAACTTAAAATTCAAATATCTGTATTAGTTGTGTTTGTTTTATTACATTTTAATTTGATGAAATGTATGGTATTGAATGCTCTTTTCACAGCAAGCTTTGTAACTTAAAAGTAAAAGCACTCTTTGCATGTAGAAACATTTGCTTCCTTGACAATATGTTTGATTATGATTAAGGCGATTAAAAAAGGGTTCATCGTTTTTGGTCTCCTTCCTGTATCCCACTTGTTATTACCACATGTTTCTTAACCCTTACTGAGCCTGCTAGTAGCGCATTGATTTAGCATAGTATGGGTAAAACATATTGCTCAATCGGGCAAGTGTTTTGTTAAAAGTATATTTTATAAAATATTAAAGAAATTAATAAGCAGTCACAGTCTGTTAATATGTATATGTAAAAAGTATATATATATAAAAATACCTCATACCATCTCTCTTTTTTGGTGGGACTGGAGACCAAAAACAAAAAGTATTCTTTTTTTTTGGCATAAGTGTGGAATTGTATTTAAAAATTACTTTTATTTTGTGAAAAAAACATGAACAGATGAAAACTACGACGACGATTTCGAGGATGACAACGATGAGAAAAATGGTGATAAAAATAAAACACTCTGAGTTTGTCGTGGTTTGTGCATTGTCATGACGAAAGTGTTGTCATGACGATTAAATCTCTCAGGAGACCATTTCAAAACTTTTAAACTTTTTATTTTATATATTTTTTTGATGCTTTATGATTATTGATAATAATTATTTTATATAGAAATAAAGAGAAAACAATTAAATAAATGAAAAGTGGAACAGGAATTATAGGAACTGGTAACTGTAAACAGGTATCAAATGTTATTCGTTTATGAATACAAAACTCGCATTTAATGACTTTGTGCAATTTATAGAAATTATATAAAGGGTAAAAAATTTTCATGGGTAAAATCTGCAGTAGGTAATGGCCAAAAATGTTTAATTTGGTAAAATACGTGACTGTAAATGGCTAAAATATGTGTTAAATAAGAGTTGTCTGAGCATGCTCGCAGCAAACAGGACATGCCATTACCAGCAGTATAGAGTCTAACGTCAATCTGTGTAGGCTGACGAGACTGTACTATTGGCACCTTAATGGTCTTGTTTGTTTTGTTTTTTTAATATTTTGTCCTTAAGGAATGGAAACTATATCCCTTTGACAACCATTATAGCTTAATATAATCAACTTTTGGCTTCTTTAAATTGTTGACTGTCTGACACATTTTGTTACGATAATAGGGTAAAACTTTTACAATATATGAAAAATTATCATAACAATAGGGTAATTAGGCCGATAAAAATGATCACACTTGATTATTTTAAAGTCCCAACGGGTGCACAATTTATCATCTATCAAAAGTAATTTACTGTAAATTTGAAACTTCCTTACATTGAACCAAGAGGGTGTATTGATTAGAATAAAACCTCTCTATGTGTCAGAACATTTTTTACAGTCTCTCAAAAGTTAATCGAACTGTTTTGAGGTTTGATGGAACTTTTAAAAAAAAAAAAGACAATAAAAATTGGGACTTTAGAATTTAAGACAGTGTATGTATATATAAAATTTTAGAAATAGTTAGAAAATAATATGTATGATAGATTCAAACATTTCATGGGTAAATTTTGGACATTTAATTTTCGTGGTTGTATCAAATATTTTCGAAATAAAAATGGGTTGATGGGTGGAGTTCTTTATTAGAGGTACTTTTGAACTGGTCACCTGGGTAACAACACAGCATGTTTTCCTACAGTTTCTATGGTTATGTAATCTTGTCTATTTGTCATGGCAACCAATGTAAGTTTCGTTTTTAGCAGTCAGTGTATTTTTATTTGTGTATTTTGTACTTTTTGTGTAACATGACTATATTTTGTGCATTTAATGTAATCTTTTTTCTTGCTTTCTTTTTTGTTTTCAAACCACATAGCTATATTGTTCACCTTTTGTATAAATTGTTTTCTTTTGATTACAAACTTCAAAAAAATAAAATGAGCATGCATTCATATTGAACCATTAAATTGAATCTTATTACTGCATTTTTTTTTTTTTTGTCACAAAACTCTCGTATTATGTAATTCTTCTTTAAAAATAATAAACTTATTACACAAGCACACCCATATTTATGTGCAAGACCTTATATATTTAAAGCAAATTTTATTCTTCAAGCATGGGCTTTTCTAAGGTATAGAAGAAGATTTATTGAATTGGTATTTAAATGCCGTTTAATGATTTTCTTTAACATAAGTCAGAATAGAAAATAAATCTGTTCTGTTGTATAGAATATAAAATTTTGTTAATGATTTAAAGGTATTTTACCTGAATATGAATTATTCAATAGAATGAATTTCAAGTTTGTACTTTTAAAAAGTACATACTTAGTATTTATTTTAAAAGATATTCTTAAATGTTTGCTTTTGTGATATAATTTGTGTTATTTAATTTCAATATGTGTCGTTTTTTTTAATTATGATTATTTATAATGAAAAGAAACTGTAGGAAGTTGCTATTTTAACTTTGCAGGAATTAATAACCCATGAAATGCAAGATTTTGTAACTTATTTTCCCATTAAATGCTATTTTACATGTGCTGTATTCACCTTTAACTTGTGTACTACTGACAGAGTTAGTTCCCTTGCAAGTGCATTAATTGATAGAGTTAGTTCCCTTGCAAATGCTGTAATTGTGTAAATCAGACACAGTTAGGTCCCTTGGGAAAGCTTAATTTATGTAAAATTACAAAGTTAGTTCCCTTTATATATATGTCTTACTTATGGTTAGTTCCCTTATGCTTCAGTCTTTTCAATATTCTATTTAATATAATGTGATTGTATATAATTTAAATTGTATGATCATAATGCAAAATCATAATTAAATAGATTATATTTAAAACTTTAAGCTGGCAATAATA